ACCATTTTATTATAATAAAAATGGTGTGGGATTATAATCATAACATGTACTAGCGGAATGATCTGGTATTGTAAAATGATTTTTTTATACGTTGCACACCGGGTGAAGGTTCAGTCGTGTAACATCGACGATTCCTCATGTTACATTGATCCCATCGGGATCAATCCTTTATTTCAATGTGTATAAAAGACTCAAAAAAATTTATAACTTTTACTATTAGGGGGTTTCAATAGAGTTCCAATCCATTAACCGTTTATCCATATATCCGTAGTCCGTTATCCAAGTATCCGATCTGAATTTATCCGGATATCCGTTTACTATTGATATCCGAATAATTTATTCGAATATTTGTCGGATTATCCGGATATCAGTAGTAAACGGATATCCAGATAAAGTCAGATATGGATTTATAATTCAACATAGTAAAATACTATTGAAAAAATTCACTTCTTTGTTAATTTTGAAACACCCTATTCTTTTCTATACAAATTTACAATTTTGCTGGTTCAATAACGTTAATGCAATTTAACGCAATGCTAATGGACCAATATTACTGAACCATTTCAAATCTCCTTATTTGGAAGGGCATCTGAAGCGAAACAACTAAATTATCAAGTATTGGGCGTGCGGGAATCTAATTTTGACAGAAATAGATAACGTCAAAATGAGCGATGTATCAACTTTATTTCATTTTCCGATAAATTTGAAATGATGATTTTTGTCGTTGAAAAGTCTATTTGTTTCGTTTAGATTTTTCAAGCACCTATTTATTTTCAAAAATGCGAAACTTTTTTGTCAAAAGAGTCGATTGTATATATGATGTAAAAAGTGAATGGAGTTTAAGTGATTTGGAATTTCTTAATAAAATTATCCTGTATAACCTATACCACCCTAAAACACCATACATGCATATATATCCCCAACTTGATGCTCATATAAATTATTTGTGCTAACCCATTTTATGAGATGGAATGCCCTATGGAATGCCCATATTTATGTACTCATTGTATTTTATTTCTCAATTTAGAAACCCTTTGCTGGGACAATAAAAAAAACAGTATTCATTGTTATTTATTTCTCAATTTAGAACTCTCAAATTTTTGCTGGGCTGCATATTGTAGTTCTGTTTAATCTACGATCTATACTGCTCCGGTTGACCCTAAACAAAATTTTGCATAAAATGCCTCGCTCATGAGACAGGATCCCATATACAGATGAAAATTTTATCTTAATACAAAAATATAAACAATAAAAATAAGTAGAACTACAATGCCAAGAACTTTTATTGGTCTACCTAAAATGAAAAAAGAAGAGGAGGAGAAAGCATTTGATCGAAATTTTAAATCTGTCAATGATATTCAAATAAACGAAATCCCAGATCAAACTACCAAAAAAAGACATTTAAGCAATACTGTATTGAAATCTATCAACAATGGCAATTATAACGAACAAATTAACCTTGCCTCAATCTCCAAAGAACATAAATGAATTGACCATCGGATATATTTTTGTTGCATAAACGAAGGCTCAGAATCTCTTTTTATTTCGGTTATCGATTCTGAAAAGTCTGAAAAACACATGAGATGCGAATAAGCACACTTGATTTTTAAATTCATAACATCGCTCAAAAATATTGCTTTCTCCTGTAAATAGTTTTTTATTATTGTGCCTTTTTTTCATGCCATCAACTGCACAAGCTATGATTTCTAAATGTCTGATTAACTTCGGCAAATATGACCAACAACTAGTCGAATTAAGAATAGTTTATATAGAAGACAAATAGATATTAATAGAATAAATCAGAGAATTAAAGTTCCGTGGTCTAGCAACTTGCAAATTCCATTTTTGCGTATTTAATAACTTTTCTACTTGCTGCTGAACCACACGAATAAATGTACGCAATTCAATGGCAGGCATTCATCTGATTGGCTAATTTATGAAGTGATCATTAACCAATCAAATACATCAAAAAATTTAGTATTAGCGAAATCTTTTACTCCTTATTGTATTTTAAAAAGACATTCTATTTTATTTTCAATCATATAAACCTTTATTAGAGATGAATCACGTCCTTTAACTCACTTAACGAAACAACACCTACTTTACCATTTAGTCAAAACGAAGCTACACCTAATCTAATAGTAGTTACTTTCTTAAAAATACTTTAAAGAATAGGTTACTCGGGAAATTGATTTACATTAATAAACCAAAAGAATGCCTGTCTATGAGTGCAATCTATCACGATCAAAATTTGATTTTGAACATGAAATTTATTCCTTTTCCACAATCGTTGAGAAAGTTTAGTTATTATCACGTGTGAGAAAATTCAGAAGAATATCCACTATACGTTATCTAAGATTTAGTTCATGCTACCGCTACCATGAAATCTGCGAAAATACAATCTTGTAATACAAGATGCATTTTTAATTCTTTTCCCATCTACGCCTTCAACAGAATAGATATTAATAAAAGGCTCATCTATTTATTAATCTCGGTCTTCAATTAAATTACAATGTTATCGTGGATGTTGTTCACTTACTTGAGCACGGATATCTGGGATATTATTATTACTAATCTCTATTGTAAACATGTAACTCCTTATGCGTCATTCTTAAATTTATGTAACATTCGTATAATATTTGTCGTTTTACAATAAACTTATGCCTAAACACTAATACGTCAGCACATCTATAGTATGTCGAGATTTTCAGTTTGATCATGTTCATCGCTACTTTTTAACCTTCAAAAATGTATGGATTACCTATTTCTTAAATATTAATGTATGGGTTAACCGATGTTGTACGTTATGAATTGGACGTTCTTCTTGAATGTTATGAATTAAACATTCTTAAATCTTGTAAGTTGGAAGCTCTTGGATATTTCTCTTGTGTCTATTTACATTATATATCTGATTTTTTTTACATTTATAATGGTTTTTATCTTTCAAGTTTGGTATATTTCTCTTAGTTAGTATATTATAAATGTTAGGTATTTTTGATTAAA